CAGAGGCATTTTATAGCCCCCCGGGAAGTGCTGCCGTCCCCTGCCCTCTCCAGGCACACACGCACCCCGTCCGCAGCAGTGTCGCAGCGTTCGTTTACCCACAGCCCCGCGCGGCTGCGGTGCTCGCGGGGGCACCGTGTCCCCAGTGCCTGCAGAGTCGGCCGCCCGGGCACTGGGTTGCGTGGTGGGATGAAGGACGGGGCGAGGAGCACAGTCCAGAGCACATGAGGCAAGGGCTAACGGAGGGAAGCTCCTCTCACTTGCTCACACTATTCACCATTGTTATGTCGAGCAGAGCCCAGAGGCACCCAGCAAGGAGACCCGTCCCACCACCGCTGTGACAAAGGGGACTTCTCGGGAGCCCATCACCAGACACGCGCGGGATGTGGGTTCTGCCGGAAAGCCATCGCGCGCAGCCGACATGAGGACAGCCAGCGTGGAGGACACGGCATCCTGGAGGGGCGATGCTCCCACCAGAGCGACTCCTGAGGAGGAGTGGAGACTCAGGTGCTCTAACGTCTCCATAGTTTCAGCCAGAAGACTTGAAGGTCGCAGAGCTCCGTGAGAGTCATCCTTCTGGTGGGCCAAAGAAAACCTGTTTGGTTTGACAGAGCAGACGCTTAAAAATTACTTTGGCCTCACGGACCAAGTGTTTGCTTTGCAACAACAGGGCTTTCACCAGCAGTTTTCCCATGTTTCGCTGCCCATCAATAAAGAAACTGTATGATATATGTGAAACGAGTTTTCCATTTCTTGTAACAATGCCTTATCTCCTGGTGACTCTGCCCAGGCAGCCATAGGAAGAGAGAGGAAATTAGTTTTCCTATTGTAAGGATCATCCCGGTGTGTCAGGCCACGAGAGAGGCAGAGCTGATCACAGAGATTATTTGATGTAGACTCCTTCTCCACTCTGCCACTGATTGCTTTTATGACCTTGAAGAGTCACCCCACCTCTGTTTTACCCCTCTTTAAACAGGAGTAATTATATCCAACTTCATGGAGTCCTTTGTGATCTAAAGGTATTAAATGTAAAGCTTGTTTATATGTTAGAGTCTCGTAACCACCAGAACTGGCAATAGCCAACAATGTTAAAATAGATGAAATCCGAAGCTTTCTTTGCCAGTGTCTTTATGCGTTGGAAACTCACAGGAGCTGGTGGTTAAAGCGGGAGGAGGAATTGTGCACAGTCTGGTGAACACTGAAATCTGTCCGATTTTCTCCCAGCGAAAGCCAGCAGAGGAAGGTTTTGAGGGAGGTGGTGGCGGAGACTGGAGCTCTCCGCAGGCACCTCACGCTCCTCGCCACGGCACGCCTTGCCAAGCCTCGGGAGTCGGCAGCCAGAAACGCCGCCGTAAACCCCCCGTGCTTTCTGGGGTGACACGGTTGGTTTCCAATCAGGCACCGTGTGCTGACAACAACAAGCCTTCTCCTCGGAGGAGCGCGTGGGCACGCTCAACCTGTCCCCGGCACTGGCGGTGTCCGGGTGGACAGAAGCACCTGCTGGACAGCAAGGCTCCTGCGGGACGATGGGGACAAAGTGTATTTGCTGTTTGGATCCATTTGAGCTCTTTTCTGAGTTGACTTTGGAGGTGGGGAAGCCGGGGGATGCAGCTCCCCGGGGAGACATGTCTGCGCAGCCACTCGGCACCGAAGAGAGGATGGGCACATCAGAGCAGAACAGATATTTCTGCTCCCAACATTGTTTCCCAATTTCCAGCTTCACGATAAACCACTTTGATCAAAAGAGTCTCACCATACGTATTTCAGCGGTTTCACCCCTTCGGCACAAGGCGTCCCTCCGCTGGTTCGGGGAAGAGGGCTCCTGCAGCCCAGCGGGACCGGGGCGGCAGCAGGCGACGCCGGCTGTGCCCAGCGCTGCCCGAGGAGCCGCGTCCTCCACACCAGCTCCCCGCTGCATCCAGCCTGGAGTTAATTACAACATCGGCATCAAACAGAGACTTTTTAAATGACAGGGAAGGACTAGCAGCTTTCTAGCCCTGCCTTTATTTTTTAACCCCAAATACGAGACACATTGCGAGGGAGAGGCGGTGGCAGATAATAAAGTTCAATGGGATGGTCTGAGCGTTAAGTGGAGAACCAGGAAAGCCTCACAGCCCGATCCCAAATTGGACATTGATATACTGTGTGGCCTGGTCTCCTGGTTTCCTCCATGTAAAGTGGGGGCGATGCTTAGCCTGAGGGGCGTTCCACAGATGAATTAGCATTTGGAAAGTGCTTTGAAGATTTAAAGTGTTATATAAATGCTAAATGTTAGCATCATCGGCTTTTATATTGCAGCAGAACCCAGAGACTGCAATCAAGATCAGAGCCTCTCTGTACCAGGCAATTTAGGAACTCCTGGTTGGAAAAAGCCCCTGACCCTGCCTCGGCCACCTGCAGCCTGCGTGCCCCGGCAGGGAGGGGGGGGGCTGCAGCCGCTCTCAGCTTCAAGGGAAAAGGTTGCCCAGAGCTTTCACACCTGGTGGCGTTCTCAGGGGATGCACAGCACGGCACAGCATCCTTCCCCGGCCACACAGCACTGGGGAGGGGGAAGACCCAACCCCTCAGGGACGCCAGAGAGTAACAGGCTGCCTTGCAGGCACAGGGGTCTCTGGACCCCCGGGCGCCCCAAGCGTGCCCAGCACCGCTGGGTCCCCCGGCTGGGCCATCCCGAGGTGCCCCACGGGGCAGACGGATGCTCGGGCAGCAGCCGCTGAGTTTCAGTCCCACCCGTTGGTTTGACAGTACAGCTAAAGCAGAGTGGCCCTTAACGTCTAGGAAAAATTGAAGCAGTAGTCACAAACCAGATGGGATCAGAGATTAGCCTTGACTGGCACGCACAAAACCAGCCGGTCAGCTTCATCTCCACCACTTGCCGACTGCAACGTATTCCATAACTCTGTTTCCTTTCCAGCCACATGGAAATACAACAGGAGTGTTAATCACAGAGCACAAATAGGGAAGAATATGTAAAAAAGACAAACAATCTTCAAACCTTTGTTTTCAATATAGTTTATGTCACGCATTGCATTTGAAAAGACCGGTAGATGAGATGATGCTCTTTGCAACATCATACATTAAAAAGTGTACACTCAGTCAGCCAAGCACAAATCAACATATGACAGACTACAAAGAAATACCAAAGTAAAAGGAAACTTCAGATGAAACAGAGTGAGGTCATTGGTTTCTTGCATTATCCTGAAGATGTTTGTCAACATTTTGATGACTTCTGGAAAAAAAACCCTACATTAACCATTTCCACTCTGTTCTTCTGAACGAGTCCTCCTGAGAAAAGGGAAGGGACATACGTGCAGTCGGATGGCACTGCCTGTGAGAAGATCAAGTAGAAACCATTCCTTCAGATTTGCAGACTTCTACTCTAATATTTGTAGTACTTGTAGGTTGTAAACACGCGACTGAGATATAGCAGGGCTTGTAAGGAAAACTGTCTTGCATCTTTGCTACATCCACTGCTCTCTCCTTAGGCAATCCATCGGTATGTGCGAGCAAGGCAGACCTGGAGATAGGAGCTCAGCTGATAAAGTGAATGCAAATTACAGGTACCATCAGGTGCTGCCTGGCCTTCCCCTGCCAGGGCCGGTGCCGCACTGGGGTGAGATGGTGCCAATCCCACCGCTGTTTTGGGGCTTGGGTCTCACTCAGCACATGGGCACACTTCCTGCGGGGAGCAGTGCCGGGAGCTGGACACGCTCAATTCCCAGTTGTGGCCGTGTCACCCCAGCACAGAACCCACGGCCCCACCAGCCCGGGCACGGGAGCAGCCGGGAGCTGCTGCTGCCCCTGGAGACGGCGCTGGAGGTCGCACGGGGAGTCAGCCCCGGCCCTGCTGACAAACACACACTTTTCGGTGTTCCCCTCTTGTCGCACGGAGCTGTTGCTGTTGAGGTGAGCATCTGCAGGAATGAGCGGCTGGAGCGGTCGCTCCCCGTTTCGAGCCCCGGGCAGAGACAGCCGAGGCCGGGTCGGGTCCGGCACACGCTGCCCATCCCAGCAGCTGCCGCGGAGGCTCCCCGCACGAAGGCTGCCTTCGGCCCCCGGCACGCGGCGGGCACAGGGCCTCCCGTCTGCACCGCGGGGATGCGTGCCCGCCGCAAGTCCGGACTTGAATCCCGAGGTGGAGTGTGCACTTCAGTGCCAGCCAGCGTGCAGCGCCGGGGGAGCTGAACAGGTTGAGTGACTTCAGGCTGTGGGAGGAATAATCGTCTCGGGTTGCTTCAGAGAGCTGAGGCAGCCAAACCGGGCGAGGATGGCACTGCGGAGCGCCTCGCGTCTCTGCCAGGTACCTCCAGAGAGTGTTTGTGTTTGGAGGACTTTTTATAGAACTGCTGTCAAAACGGGTAGCAAGCGAGCTTAATTGGGACCGATCTGAAAAACGAGGCGGCGCGTAGGTGTGCGAGGGCTGTGTGCAGCGAGCGGCTGCTTTCAGACGGAGCCAAGCGTAAACAGGTCCAGTCTGATGTTTATCGGGGACTCTCATCTCCTGAGCTGGTGAATTTTTTACTGTCGTGTCAGTTATCATCCGCAGACCGGGGAGCATTAGAGACAACTTTGCGTAGCGTGTGAGTAAGGCTGAGCATACCCGTCCTGCTGCAGCCCGCGCTGCCCCGGCCGAGCTGCGGCATCCATCTGCCCGGCCAGCGGGACCCGGGGCTCCTGCCTCTGGCGTCAGCCCGAACGCCGTCCCCTCGCGCGTACTGAGTCACAAGTGACTCACTTCAAACTTGGATGTGAGCGCAAAGTATACATTTGCAAATTGGCTGGTGAGGCACTGCTTTGCAATGTAGGTGGGATGTATTACATACTCCAGCAGTCAAGTTCTGCTCTTTTTCCCTCCTCCCTCTCGCTCCGTGCAGGATAGCTGTCTGAGCCCAGGATTTTGGTGCGGTTCTCGCAGGCGCAGGAAGGCAGCTCAGCCCGCTCCAGTGGATGTGGCGTGTGGATGGCTCCGGCTCCGCTCGTGACGGAGCTCTCCACTGAGGATGGATGATTTAGCTCTCCTCGACCTGTTGGAGTGTCCTGTGTGCTTTGAGAAGCTCGACGCCACAGCGAAGGTGCTGCCTTGCCAGCACACTTTCTGCAAGCCCTGTCTGCAGAGGATCCTGAAATCCCAGAAGGAGCTCAGGTGCCCCGAGTGCAGGACCCTTGTCCTCTGCAGCATCGAGCAGCTGCCCTCCAACCTGCTCCTCATTCGCCTCCTGGATGGAGTCAGGTGCGGACAAAACGTTACCAGGTTTGGCTCGATCCAGCGGTCGGGGGTCCTGTCCTCCCCTGCCTCCATCAGGAGAGTCCCCAGGGGGCTGCAACTTCATCAGCACCGGCTGGCGACAAACCCCAGGGTCCACATGGAAGGGGTAAGGAGCGTCCACGTCCTTTACTCTGTCTGTGAGCATAGAAAGCTTTCTTCTTGTGTGCCAACAGCTATGAAACTTTCCTGTTAGCCGTACTGCAGAAATGTTTGAAGTAAGAGAGATCGTTTTGTTTGCAAATCTGGCTGCTATTTCCTTGTGGTATTTGACTATTTTGAGTTCATCACATCAGTGATTGCGTTGACTCTCAGGCTGAGACAAAACCAGCTTGCCCTTCTCTTTAGAAAAACTCCACAGCAGCTGTTTTCCTCAGGGGGTTCCAGGTGCTTCCTGACTTTTGGGGCACATTTCAGGCACTTTGACTTTCAGGCAATATACTGATTTTTGACGAATAGTAATTACATCAGTAATTGCAAAGCTGTAACTGTTAGAGGTGGAGAAAGGTATTTCCCATCGCTGCCCCTCAGTTTCCCCAGCCATTGGAAAGGCAGGAGAGCGCCTAATGATGCTTATGTCCCTGGCAAAATACTTTGAGGTTCACTAATGAATAATATTAAACTCAACTTACTGACTATATCTAGGGATGATTTACTAGGCTCATTTTAAAATTCTAAGTTGTCTCTGTCATTTTCTTTAACAGTACAAAAGCTTTTTTTAAATAACGAGGACACAATATTAGACCTATTAAAGGAGCTTGGCTCAGACTGAATTTGGGGTACAGACTGACTTGTGGCTTCACCCTTCCTGCATTCTATTCCTGGATTTCCCTTTCTCCCACCTGAAATATTCTTCTGTACAATGTCTCTACAAACCTCTTCATGATATCCAAAAGCCTGGTTCGAATGGCTGTTAAACCTCAGAGCATTTTTCAGAATTGCAGAGTTGTAAATGTCCGGGCAGACACAGGACGGGTTTTCTCTCCTGTGTGCTGGAGGTACCTTCGTGCGGGTGTTGCTGTGGAGCCGTAGCGGACCCCTCTGTCCTGTGGGTACAGGCTGGTGTGCGTAGCCCAGGGAATCTCTGTGGCCACGCTAAGTCACCTTGGATGGATCACACATCAAAACCAGCCATCTCTCAGGAGCTCCTCTCAGGTTTCCCCACTGCAAAGTGTGGCAGGGTGGCCCTGAGACCTACGAACCGGGTCCCTCTCCCGGGAGCTCGCCTGGCCCGCAGCTTATCAGGCAGGCCGGCGTGCCTGCCCCTGCGCGGCGGCAGTGCCCGGGCCGGTGGGCAGTGGAAGGGGCCATCCACCCCTCCTGCATGCACAGAAAGCATAAAGAAATTATGCTTTAGCTGAGATGAAACGTAGCTCAGTCCCCAAAGGCGCTGAGCGGTGCTGGGGGAGCAGGGCCGGGTGGGCGATGCGGTGGTCTCCCATCCGTGGCACCCCGTGGGTGAGCGGGGCTGGTGGCACAGCGGAGCGGGGCGGGGGGGCGTTTTCCCCGGCCCGCGGGGGGCCCGGCCAGCCTCCGCCGCGGCAGCACTGCTCCATCAGTGTCAGCGAGGCTGGCAGCTCCCGCGAGCAGCAGAGCTCTCCAGGGGGGCTGCGGGGGGTTCCTGGTGCCGTTAGTGCGAGGTACGAACCATCAGCGAGTGACAGTTTTCAGCCACTGCCATTACGGGCGGCATTTCAGCTGAAAATGAGAAGGTTTGTAGTTCCTCCAACTGGGCTCCCCCAGCCCCAGATAAAAAGGCACCAATGCGCTTCTCTGTTTTTCTTCTCTCTCACACGTTTCACATTTCTTTTACTAGTTCTCAGCACAGGTAGGAACTTGTCGCTGATATTATATAATGGCAACATGCATCAGTCTGCAGCTCCCAAAAGCGTTTTAAGACCAAACAGTTGGGAATCGGCAGAAGCAGTGAGCGAGAGGGCCGCGGCTGCGGACCGGCTCCCTGCAGAGCCGGGACAGCCCTCTGACTTCCCATGCCTCTTGATGAAGGGATATAAAAACACGTTACACTGAAATGCTCTTAGACTTAATTAGTTAATTAATTATAAAACACTTTGGAATCCTCGGCTGCAAGGTGAAGAATGCAACGAATTAGTCATGTCTTGGTTTTGGTGGTTTTAAATGCATGCGGACGGGACCGGTCGTTACTTTAGGTGCTGCAGTGGGCCGGTGGCGCCTGCGGACCCTGCTCCGAACGGGCTTCACGCGCAGCAGCGGGGACTCACTGCCAGCGCCCGCAGGGCACAGACAGGGCGGTGATGAGGGGGACTGGTCGGTTCCCTAC